CACCCAAAGCTAGATAAAGAAGAAATAGAACACCTAAACAGACCAATTACAAGCAGCGAAATTGAAATGGTAATCAAAAACCTCCCCAAAAACAAAAGCCCAGGACCTGATGGATTTACAAATGAATTCTACCAAACATTCAGAGACGAAATTAGTGCCTATCCTTCACAAACTCTTCCAAAAATTGAGAAGGAAGGGACAATACCAAACACGTTCTATGAAGCCAATATTACACTAATACCAAAACCGAATAAGGACAACACAAAAAAGGAAACTATAGGCCAATCTCCCTAATGAACACTGATGCAAAAATCCTCAATAAAATTTTAGCTATCAGAATCCAACAATGTATCCATAAGATAATTCACCACGACCAAGTTGGATTCATTCCAGGGCACAAGGATGGTTTAACATCCGAAAATCAATCAACGTTATCCAACACATCAACAAAAAGAAATATAAAAACCATATGATAATATCAATAGATGCTGAGAAAGCTTTCGACAAAGTGCAACACCCATTCATGATAAAAGCCCTTGAAATTCTTGGATACAAGGAACATACCTCAACATCATAAAGGCCATCTATGACAAGCCAACAGCCAGTATCATTCTCAATGGTGAAAAGCTGAAAGCAATTCCATTAAGATCTGGAACAAGACAAGGATGTCCACTCTCACCACTGCTTTTCAATATAATACTGGAAGTCCTAGCCAGAGCAATAAGACAAGAGAAAGACATCCAAGGAATCCAAATAGGAAAAGAAGAAGTCAAACTATCACTATTTGCAGATGATATGATAATATACATAGAGAACCCCAAATCTCCACAGAAAAACTAATTCAACTCATCAATCAGTTCAGTAAAGTGGCAGGATACAAAATCAACATGCAAAAGTCAGTAGCCTTCCTATACACAAACAATAAATCTGAAGAAGAAGAAATCAAAAAACCACCCTTTTATTATTGAAACAAAAAAAATCAAATATTTGGGAATAAATCTAACAAAAGAGGTAAAGGACCTATACAAAGAAAACTATAAAACACTGTTAAAAGAAATAGAAGAAGACACAAAGAAATGGAAAGACATCCCCTGCTCATGGATTGGAAGAATAAACATTATTAAAATGGCCATCCTACCAAAAGCAATATACAGATTCAATGCTATTCCAATCAAAATCTCAATGGCATTCTTCAAAGAAATAGAACAATTATTGATGAAATTCATATGGAATCACCAAAAACCCCGAATAGCCAAAGCTCTACTGAAAAAAAAAGAAGGAAATGGAGGCATCAAACTCCCAGACTTCAAACTATACTACAAAGCCATAATCATCAAAACTGCATGGTATTGGAACAAGAACAGACATACAGACCAATGGAATCGAATAGAAAATCCAGAAATAAACCCACAGATTTATGGTCAACTAATCTTTGACAAAGGAGCAAAGACTATGCATTGGAGCAAAGAAAGTTTGTTCAATAAATGGTGCTGGGAAAACTGGGTCGCTACATGCAAAAGAATGAAGCTTGACCACTACCTCACACCATACACAAAAATCAACTCAAAATGGATTAAAGAACTAGACATAAGACCTGAAACCATAAAATACATAGAAGGAAATATAGGCGAAACACTACGGGATTTGCACATCAAAGACATCTTTACAGACACTCACCCAAAGCAGTGATAGTGAAGGCAAAGATAAACAGCTGGGACTACATCAAATTAAAGAGCTTCTGCACAGCAAAAGAGACAGTAACAAAAACAAAGAGAAACCCCACCAACTGGGAGAACATTTTTGCACCCAACACTAATGATAAAGGACTGATCACAAAAATCTACAGAGCTGATGAGACTCAGCAACAACAAAGAAAATAATCCAGTCAAAAAATGGGCAGAAGAGCTAAAAAGAAACTTCTCCGAAGAGGAAATGCAAATGGCCAACAGGACATATGAAAAAATGTTCAACATCACTTGCAATCAGGGAAATGCAAATCAAAACTACCATGAGATACCATCTCACACCAGTGAGAATGGCACATATTAAAAAACTAGCAACAACAAATGTTGGCGAGGATGTGGAGAAAAGGAACTCTTCTGCACTGTTGGTGGGAGTCAAACTGGTCCAACCACTATGGAGAGCTGTGTGGAGATTTCTGGACCTACTAAACATAGAGCTTCCATATGATCCAGCAATTCCACTCTAGTATTTACCCAAAGGACACAGAAACATTAATTCCAAAGAGCACCTGCACCCCTATGTTTATAGCAGCACTGTTTACAATAGCTAAGCTTTGAAACAACCCAAATGCCCAAAAATAGATGACTGGATCAAGAAGATGTGGTACCTATATACCATGGAATATTACTCAGCATTCAAAAAAGATAAACACATGCAATTTGCAGCAACATGGATGGAGCTGGAAGGATCATGCTCAGCGAAATAAGCCAAAAAGAAAAAGAAAAATACCGGATGGTCTCACTCATAGCAGGAATCTAGAAAACTTAAATAAGGACAGGAAATGAATATAAGAAAGTGAAAATCAAAATCAACAAAAAACTATGAACCAGAGACACTTTTGGGGGGTGGGGGGCGGGGGGGAAGGATTGGGGTCAGAATGGGGCGTTTGCAATGTATGGGGGAATATAAAATAAAATTTAAGATTAAAAAAATAATAATAAAAAAAATAAATAGTAAAACACCAACAAATAAATAAAAGCACTAGAGGCTGCTTTAAAACAAAAATAATAAAGTAAGGTTATAGCATATATAGAGCAAAATATATAACAACAATTACACAAGGGATAGGAAGGTCTGTTAAAGGAATTACACTGCTCTAATATTATTAGAATATTGTTCATGAAGTAATGGTTCTGTTAAAAAACACGTAGCACACATGAAAAATCACGTTTACATACATAAAGCACAAAAGAAGTCAAAAAAGGACAGAGAATCAGTAGAAGAGACAAAAAGAAGCTAAAAGTATATTTACTTACACTAAATGGAATACCAAAAACTATTCCAATAACCAAGAAGAAGCAGGAACAAAGGCACAACATGAAGGACACACAGATGAGACAACTAGAAAGTATGTGCCAAGATGACAGATTTAGACTCAACTGTATAAGAGTAGTAATTACACTAAATGTAAGTGGACTAAACACTTTGATGAAAGAACAGAAATTGTCCGATTGGATTGATTAATGCAAGACCTACTACATGGTATTTGTAAGAAAAATATTCTAAGTATAAAAACACAGATAGTTTTTAAAAACAAAAAGATATAAAAAGAAATACCATGTATATCAGATACAATTGATGCATAATAAGTTACCCCAAATTAGCCATTTAAAATAACAAGCATTTATCTCACAGTTTCTGGGTTATTTATCTGGGTATATATTGGCTAAGTCCCTTTGTTGCGTGAAGCTGTAGTCAGAGTTTTAGTCTCATCTGAAGGTCCAATGGGGGTGGGGGAAGAGCAGGATTTGCTTTCCAGCTCACTCTTCAGGACAACTGAATGAGAGTGAGCTACCCTTTAGGGAAACTGTAGTCTTTTTGTAAACTAATTTCAGAATTGATGGCCCATTGCTATGATTTGTTAAAATTGAGTTACTAAATCCAATGGACACTCAAGGGGAGGAAATTAAATAAGATTGTGGATACTTGAGGTAAGGATTACTGGGCATGATCTTAGAGGACACATACCACCCCATGCAAACACCAAACAACAAATATCTGCAAGAAAATGACACCCCAATATCCTTTATAAATATAGACACAAAACTTCCAAAAATATATTAGCTTATTTCTCTGCATGATAGCCAAAAAGGTTAATTGGAAACAATTTATAAAACTCCTAGTTCACTTAAACTATTACATTATAAAGAGCAGTACCACCAGTGAGTCACCTGACAATTTACTTTTTGACAATCCACTTTTCTACCAATAAGCCCATGTAGTGACAATATATAAGAAAATGATTAAAAGTGTAGATTCTCCTATTAATCTAGAAGTCAAAAGACCATTAAAAAAATATGGGGGGCAGTAGTTAAAGAAATAGAAACAGTCAGAAGAGAAACTGACTCAGGAAGAAAGAAAAGTTGGCAACTAAATGGGAATCAAATATCATTGCAAGGGCAGAGAAATGAATTGACCGTCACCCCAAGAAAAGTGTGGAGGCAGGCACACTCCACAGGAACACCTTAAGACCACATGGTTTTATATTTATCCTTGGGATTCAGGAATACTACCTCCATCCTCCTGTTCAAGTTCAGAAACATGGAAATCACCCTTGACACCTCACTTCCCAGAACTGGTCATCACCAACTCTTCGCCATTCTAACTCAAAAATTCATATTACAGTCATCTACTTCCCTCCATAATCTAGTGCAAGTCTGGAGTTAAATTGTCTCCTTCCTGCACTTCTCTTTCTCTTCTAAACTCCTTCAATCCCTCCACACAATAACCAGCATGATCTTTATAAATGTAAATTGTGACACATCTCCCTCTAGGTTATAGCTCTAATGCCTTCTCACTGCACAACTTGGCCTCCAAGGTCCTAAATGACTTGTACATAGTCTTGGCTGGCTAGCAACAGAATGGCACCAAAGTGGGGAGCCCTGACACCACAAAGCTGTGGGTGAGGAGCTGATGTAGCCTCTTACTCGAAATTGTCCTAAACAAGGCCCACACGCAGTACCTGGAACTGAGAAGGTTGCATCTACTCCTCTTGGCTTAGTGTCCATCTCTTAAACTCTCCCTTCATCTCCTGTGCTGATGTGCGTATGCACACATGCACACACACACACACACACACACACTTTTATCTCATTCTCTCATTCACTTTCAGTCTTTAGTCTCCATTTGGATTTATGTTTGGTGTCTCTCTGTCTCCCTTGCTTTTCAGCTTGGCTCCAGCATCATTCTTGGTTTAGAAAAACTGTCACCCAGTCACCCTCAGAAAGCCAGGAGGCAGCCCCCCCCCCCCCATTTCACTACCTGCTCCCTTCGAGCTCACACACGTAGTTCACTACTGGGGTCCAGTCAAAGGCCCCTGGCTCCTTCTTCAGCCATTTCTCCAGCTCTTTCAGGTTCTGGTCAGTGTAGTCAGAGGCGATGATCTCCTTGAAGGACTCACAAGCAGAGAGGAGCTGATAGATGGTGGGTCCAGAGCCAATGTCAATCAGGAGGTCTCCCTTCACGCCATCTAGGGTGGGAGCGATTAAAGGGAGGGGTCAGGCGTCAGATGGCAGGAGACAGAGCTCATTTATATCACCTTTGCTGGGATTATTCTGGACATTCCCCCCAAACAGGGTATCTCTCCACTTACTCCTTCCCCCCAGGTCTCATTTTAAAACATTTTTTTTTCATTTTCCTTCTCCAATCCAGAGGGGGGTACATGTTGCCAGCATATTTTTAGGTGGAAGCAAAAGAGAAGAATTCTACATCTGTTGTATAGACCTTGATCCAGGAAGATTCCTACATAGAGAAGGTTAAAAACTATTAAGGAAGACTTTGGGGGAAAGTTAAAAGAATTTTAATTGAGCTTATATTATGTCTTTCTCCCAAAAGTACCTCGTTTTACATATATTTGGAGGTCTTTAACTCATGCATATTTATATCATCACTTTGAGTTAGAAATAGAACAAGCAGGGACCTCCCTGGTGGCACAGGTGGTTGAGCGCCACACTGTGAAGCTGTCCACAGCCTCTGCAGCGCGGGTTCAATACCAGCCAGCCAGGGAGAAACCCACATGGCATGGCAGACCTCTCCTGCCTCGCCCGCTGCTCCCCTCAGCAGTGTATTTCAGCCTGCTTGTTCTGTTCCCCACTCTGTCTCTGGTGAATCCTTTCACCCCTCCAGCGCATCTGGCCTGTACCCTGGTTCTTATATAAATAAATAAACATTTTTTAAAAATAGAACAAGCAATAGAATCTCCATTTCTTAAGTGGTTCATCAAGGTGAGATGGCCAATTCTGCTAAAATCCCTACAAATCTAGGACAGAACTCCATCCTCTGATTTCCCTTTAGCCTAGGTATGAAAGCGCTCTGAAAACTATAAGACATATACATCAATGTTAGTTTTTTCCTAGTTAAATAAACACAAAATGCCCAAAAGGGCTGTCAGATAACAATGACAAGACACTAAACCCACTTTGTGTCCTGAGACTCTGTAGGACTCATATTTTGGTGGGGAGACACACAGACAATAGATACACTTACCTACACAGAATATCCTGAAAAGGCTTTGCAGAACATGTCTAAGAATCTTATTTTCTGCTGATTGTTTGGACCCAAAGTTGTAATATTTTTCTAGATAATCCCGTGGGTTAAAGTGGCTCAGGTACGTGTCCTTGGAGGTGAAGCCAGAGTCCATTGTGCTTGCTCCAGTGCTCCAGTGCACTGCTCTCCTTCCAGTTCCCAGCAGCAGGAGTCACCTGCAGAAGTTGCCTTCTGAGTCTCAGGCTCTCAACTTTCCATCAGTTTATCCTATCCATTAGAGACAGCGGCTTGGTTAAATACTAACAGAGAAATACACCCAAAATGTTCTGGCCATTCTAGGATGTTATGAAATTCCTGGGAAGGGAGCCTAGGAGAAGGGGGGAGTGGCAGGGGAAGGGTCACGAGCTGCATGCAACACTGGCCAAGGGGTGAAGTTCAGCTCCAAGGGAAGAATCACTGGGATTGTGGGAAAATGATTTAACTCATTGAAGAACCCGTAAGTTCAGCAAGACGTGCCACACTCCCAGAACACCATCACTCTTCTCCTTCCTGCAGTGATTGTCCCAGAAAAAAGAGCCACAGAGAATCGTTTGAATTTAAACATGTGAAAGAAAGTAAAGAAGAGAAAGACAATGATAGGAAACGCATCCAGAGTTAAGGAATGTTCACGAAGGATTTTCAGATGAAGTCTGGAGAGATGGTGAAAGAGCAATTTTAAAAAACAGGATGGGGATTTCTCCAATACCCAGGCTAACCACAAAACCCTCTCCTTGTCCTGCTTATGCCTCTCCATCCTAGCTCTGTCATCTGCAGCTTCAACCAGTGCCTCCAATTCTGAGTCTCTCTCAAGCACCTCCTCACACATTCAGTTAATCCAAATCCTGACAGTTCTTTCAAAGTGCATTTAAAGCCCTCCGCTGCTTTAGGAATTCCTTAAATTCCCTTTACTGAGCTCATACAGCCCTTAGCACGAGCTCCATTCCGCATGGATTCAGGAGAGACTGCGCAATGGACCTCGTGTTTTCCCTCACCCAGACCTCAGGGGAAAACCTAGGAAGTTGCAAATCTCCCCCTCTTCATCAAACCTTAGGATCCCTCCAACATCCCCCATTGGCACAACCTAACACATAGAGGCACGTGGCAAAGGAGAATTGTGTTGGCAGAGTCCAGCTCTTACGTAACCAAATACAGAAAGGGTGGTTAGAGCTATGAGGCAATAAATTAATAACTGGCACAGACATCAATGCACAGAATCTATTTATAAAGATAATTTTTATTGGTCAGCTTATTTTGTCAGGTACTATTCTATGTACTTTACATATACTACCTTATTTAAACCTTATAACAGAAGGACACATTTGAAAGTCCAGTGAGTCCCAAACAAGATATGTAAAAGGAAACCCACTCCTAGATGTTGTATTGGTGAAACTGCAGAAGGCCAAAGGCTATGAGAAGATGTTGAAAACATCTAGAGGAAAGACACAGGTTACTTTTGAAGAATGACAGTGACACCGAGGGCTGACTTTGCAGGATAACACAGTGGAAGGCAGAAGACAGAGAACAATGTTGTCAATGTGAAAGTCACTGTCAACTGAGAATTCTCTAATCAGGAAAGAATTGGGACATAATAAGGATATCTTCAATCAAAAAAGAAAAAGTTTGCCATTTGTAGTATTAGTAGTCCCCTCGAAAGGAAATCCTCAATGACCTATTTCAAACAGAAGGAATGTGAACCCAAATAGAAGATCTGAAATGCAAGAAAGAATAAAAAACAAAGGAAGCTGATAAAACACACACACACAAATGTCACAAATGATTAATAATAAGCAAGGTGTAATTAAAATATACAATAGCAATAGCCTGTAAGTTTCAGGAGATGGTGGATACCTGGAATTGAAGTGTTCTAGAGCTTTGTATTACTGAGGGAGGGTAGACTCTGATAATTGAATGATGCATATTGTAATTCTAAGCAGATGGTGCCCTGCCCATATCCCTTGTACTTGGCACACCTGTGCATGGTAACATTTTCCTGATGTGGTCATATGAGACTCTGCTGAGGGCTTTCAAAGAAGGTCAGCATCAGCCTCCACCTAGAGCAGTCCAGAAAAGCCAGGGAGTTAATGCAGCGGCCTTCAGCCTCTGGGACATCAAAATTGGTGAATAAACATCCAAGCTTCCCTGTCCTGGAACAGGAGTGTTGAGATACATTCTCTCCCTTCTCCCAGAGGTGCAGGACTAAACCCTGGGTGCCCACAGCAGTAACTGGCTCATTGATCTCCATGAGCTTTCTGGCTTCACTGCCTTCCTTTCTTTTTCTGTCTGACTTTTCCAGTCCCAAACTAGTATTTCCCGAGATCCAAACTGTAGTGGCTGTAAGGCACAGGGCAGGTTCTCTCTGGATCCGGGCAGATGGTTAAAGGAGAGCCTTGGAGCCCTCAGTGGCTTTTTCAGGCTTTTAATGATCTTTCTACAGCATTTGTAGTGAGGCAACCAGGTGCAGGGCAGGCAGGGGTGCCAGGGCCGAGAGGTTGGCAGGCCTCCCTCCCCCGGTGAATCTTCACTCTTTCTTTAGGCTCTCCCTGGAGTTCTCTAGTGGTCTCTCTCAGCCATTCTCAGTCCTCTCTCATAGCCATTGTTCAATATATTTTGCCTATGGTCTTCGGTCGCACCCATAAATGATCTGTATCTATGCTCAGGTGTGCCCACTTATGCATGCTCACACCATGCTCCAGGTGCCCACCATCAGGCACACATGCCCAGAGCCCACGCACCCAAGTGCCTCCTGCAGTCAAGGTCGCAGGTGATAGTCACAGAGGCCAAGGGCGCAAATGCCTGAGCAATCATTGAGCCTACACAAAGTAAAATACCTACACTTCCATTTTAGGTGCCCACAAAAGAATATAATCAGGGGCAATTAGTAGAGGAGGTGGATTAACCAAAAAAAAAAAAAAAATCAATTGAGAAGATCAGAAATAAAAGAAAAAGTAATATAGATCTGTCAGGTCAAATACAAATTACAAAATAAGATGGTAATGATGAACTTAACATCTCAGTAAAAATATGAGAGACCTGTACAGGATTAATCAATTTGAGTTAATGAACATGCTAAAATACTACATCTACATCTAAAATACTACATCATTTTAAGTATACCGGCCTCCCAGGTGGCACAGAGTCTCAGCGTTATCAAACTACATGAGTTTTTCTACATGAGTTCTATCCCTGGCTCAGGGAGCTGACCCACATGGCGCAGCAGAGCTCTCCTGTCTCACCCGCTGCTCCACTCAGCAGTGTATTTCGGTACATCTGCCTATTTTGCTCCCAGCTCTGTCGCTGGTTAATTCTCCCACTCCCTCCACCCCCTCACCTCTGGCTTATACCCAGTTTGTATATGCCCAAATAAATAAATAAATCTTTAAAAAAAAATGGAATACAGAGGCCACTAAACATTACCATTTACTACTTTGCTTTATAGCAAGCCTCAGTGTAGTGCACAGCACTGAAATAATATAGAGTATATTCTTTGATCAAGGCAGTTAAGCTAAAAGTCAAAAGTAAAAGATAACTAGAGCACTCTTATGTGTTTTGAAATTTAAAAATGCAATAATAAGTAACCCATAGGTCAAAAACAAAATCATCATGGAAATTATGAAATATTTTCAACTGAATAAGAATAAAAACACTGCACTTCAAAATTTGTATTTAAGGGGAACTCAATTTGTTAAATGTATGTACTAGTAAGAGTGAGAGTTTTGTGAGCTCATGAAATTAGGAAAATAAGAGAAAAATAGATGTAAATTTAAAAATAATAATGCAGAACAGAAACTAATGAAATAAAAAGCTAAAAGCCAATAGGGAGAATCAGCAAGACCCAAAACCTGGTAGGCCGAAAAGGTTAATATAATTAATTATGGAAGGAACACCTTCCAACCCATTCAATAGATTTGAAGAGAAAAAAAGCTCAAATTCAACATCCATTTACATCAAAAACAATTCTGGAAAAAATGATGTAAAAAATACATAAAATAAAATTTTAAAAAATTAAAAAAAAAACAAAAACAATTCTGGGCAAACTGATAATAGAATGGGATCTCCTAAAGGTGGTAAGAATTGCCTACAAAGTCTTTAACAAATATTACACTTAATAAAGACACATTTAAAAGCTTTCCAGGGGCTTCCCCGTGGCGCAGTGGGTTGAGTGCTGTGCTGTGGAGCTGTCTGCAGCCTCTGCAGGGTGGGTTCGATTCCCGGCCGGCCAGGAAGATGCCCACATGGCAGACCTCTCCTGTCTCTCTTGCTGCTCCCCTCAGCAATGTCTTTGGTCTGTCTGCCTGTTCTTTTCCCCACTCTGTCTCTGGTGAATCCTCTCACCCTCCCATGCCTCTGGCCTATACCCCAGTTTTTGTATAAAAATAAACAAATCTTTAAAAAAAATTAAAAAATAAAAGCTTTCCAAACTTCAACTTGGGGATAGAGATAAAATTGCTAATAATTACCAATTTGTTCAACATTCTACTGAAGGTCCTGGACAGCACCTTTAGAAAATAAATAGAAGTTATAATGATTGGAAAGGGAAAAGACAAAACTATTATTATAAGCAGATCATGTAATGATAATATATAGAGAAAATGAAAAATAATCTACAAATAAAAGTATTAGAATTAATACAGGAGTTTAAGCCAAGTTTCTGGATATAATATCAATATAAAAAGTTCAATTCATTTATAACAATAGTAATAGAAGTAAATTTAAAACAGACTTCATTCGCAATAGCATTAAAAAATATGAAGTACTCAGGAATAAATCCAACAAAATATGTACAAGACATTAATGGAGAAAATTATAAAATTTTATTGAAAGACATTAAAAAAGACCTAAATAAATGGAGAAATATACCACTCCATGAATCAAAAGACTCAACATTGTAAAGATGTCATTTCTCTACAAATTGATTTATAGACTCAGTAAAATCCCAATTAAAATCCCAATAGGTTTTTGTTGGCTCTTGACAAGTGAGCTCTAAATTTATATGACAGTGCCAAGGGCCAAGAGTAGCTACTCTTGAAGAAAAATAAGATAGGAGGATTTGCTCTATCAGATCTAATACTTTTTATAAAGCCATAGTAATGGAGGCACCGTGGTATTTACATAAGGATTAACAAATAGACCAATGAAACAGAGTAGAGAGTCCACAAACAGGACCAACCACAGAGTCATATATGTCAGAGGTAATATCCACATCAGTTGGGGAAAGGTAGACTTTTCAATTAATAGCACTGGGATAATTCCCAGGAGGGAAAGTGGAACTGAACCTCTCTTTATACTCAAAAATCCATGTAGGTGGACTGAAAAACTGTATATGAAAGGCAAAACTCTAAAGATTTAGGAGTATTTAACATAGAGGAGTATCTTCAGGAGCTTGAGATTAGAGGAGTTCTCAAACCAGATACCAAAGCCATTCATCATAAAAGAGAGATCTGTAAGAGTGAGTCTATCACAATTAAAAACATCTGTTAAACTAAAGCTGCCTTAAGAGAGAGAAGAGTAATCCACAGAGGGAGAAAAGTTATTACAAGTGCAACAGGACTAGGATTCAGGATTTAAAAGACTTTCTGTGAATCAAAATAAGAAACAACAAAGAAGACTTAAACCAAGATCCTTCATAAGAAGGGAAATCGAAATGGGTGATCTCCCCAGTGCAATGCAAACGAGACCAAAATGAGATGCTGTTACATAACCATTGAATTTGCAAAGATATCATCTGACTAGCCCAAGGCCCTTGACCATAGATACGCTCACATATTTCAAGTGAGCATAGATGTTGCTACAACCATTCTGAAAAGCAAGGTGGCATTAACTAGTAGAGTTTGAACATACCCCAAGTTTGACAACTGCACTCCCAGAGGCAGTTGTCACAGAAAATCTGGCACAGGGGCCTCCCGGTGGCGCAGCGGTTGAGCGCTGGGTTGCGAACCTGCCCGCAGCCTCTGCGGCGCCAGTTCGATC